CAAGTAGGGGGATATGAAGAAGCTCTATAGGGGTTGGGGCATTTCTTGCCCATCAGACACACTTCTCAGACACCCGTCATCTCCTCTGTCTCTGCTCCCAGACTTGCCAGGAGCCTGAGGGGGCTGTACGTCCCTCGTTGACAAAGGGAGCCTGGAACAGAGTGGTGATGGAAACTCAGAGCCAGGGGCTGAGGGGTGGGCCTACAGAAGTCCTCTTCATTCCCCTAATCTGAGGATAGCAGCCCTGTCCCCTGATTCAGGGTGTGTCTGGGAAGCCCTTTGCAGCTTTCTTACCTGCAGCTGGATGCTCCAGAATCAGAAGATGAGGCTCTCCTTTGTGCTGGGTGAGAGGGGCTGGTGTAGCAGCGCTGCCTTGCCCATGGAGCCTTGTCCACTGTGCGTTGAGAGGGGTGAAGAGGGTGATAGAGCTTCTGCAGCCAAGACCAAAGTCAGCTAGATGGGGTGGGGCCCAGCAAAGTCTTCCTAAGGGAACACCGTCAGCCCTATCTGCCCTCTGCTGTCTCAGGTAAGGTGGACCCTGGAGGCAGCTGTCTTTCCTTGCAACAGGAGAAGTAAAATGTGAGACTTTGGAGTCTTCCTAAAGGTTGCAGGGATTGGGGCTGGGCAAGGTGGCCCATGCCTGTAATTCCAGTGCTTTGGGAGGTCAAGGTGACAGAATCGCTTGAGCTCAGGAGTTTCATGTTACTTGTGATTGGTCACCATTGCACTCCAGCCTGGTGAGCCATTCTGATGTGTCCAGTTGGCAAGTGAATTCATCAGGCCTATGGGAGGTATGGGATCTGGGCCTGGCAGGTGGGTGAGTTGCAGTTACCCAAGGCCCTAGGCATCCTGCCCTGATGTCATAACCTCAGGGCTGCAGGATCAGCTGCTGGCTCCACTTCCCAGTCTACCCCACCATGTTGCTTTACGAGCTGGAAACTTGGAAGCTGAGGACTCCTGGCATTTCCTGTGCACATGGTCTCAGGGGAGGGATGCTCCTGGCCTTACCTTGGGAAACCTCCCCATAACCTTCAGGTCCCGCCTCCCAGAGCCACTACTACCAGAAGGCCTCCAGGAAGTCAGGCGCAGTTTTTCTTTTTTTTTTTTTTAATTTGACATGGTCTTGCTCTTTTGCCCTGACTGGAGTGCAGTGGCCAGTGGGACAATCTTGGCTCACTGCAATCTCCACCTCCCAGGCTCAAGTGATCCTCCTACCTCAGCCTCCCGAGTAGCTGGGACTACAAGTGTGGACCACTATGCCTGGCTAGTTTTTGTATTTTTTGTAGAGTTGAGGTTTCACCATGTTGCCCAGGCTGGTCTTGAACAACTCAGCTCAAGAGATCCACCCACCTCAGCCTCCCAAAGTGCTGAGATTACAGGTAAGCCTGTAAAAACCATGCCCAGCCTAGGCCCACCTTTTTCTCATGATGGTTTGATGAGGGTCATGGCAATGGAGTGGAAGTGTGGATGGTCACAGGAGAACAGACAGCTGATTTTCCTCCCTAGTCCCCTTCCTTATCAGCTAGGAAAAGAGCAGTCTGAGCTGCTTGGAGGCTCCCCTGCCAGGCAGGCAGCAGCTGGGCTGGGCTGCTAATTGGGGCCAAAACCCCAAGGAGGAGTTCCCTGGGACACCAGAACTGGCTGGACGGATGTGATTTGGCAACTGTTTTCTGGCCAGTTAGGATAACTGTTTCCTTTCAGGGTCTGAGGCAGTTGTTCAGGGTGACTTCATGTGGCTTCTGAGCAGGTGTGGTTTAGGTTGGCCCTGTTCCTGGGACCCCTGCTCTGTGTCCATGAGGTAGGCCAATGACTCGACATCTTGTCCCTTGGCCAAAGTGACAAGAGACACCTTGGCCGAAGAGAGGAGCGGGAGAGCTGTTGTCCTCGTGAGTTGTCATGCCGTGTCCAGGGATCTGCAAAGTTCCATGGGAGTGGGTAGCTGGTTCTGGGGTGGCAGGACCGTCCTCCTGCTGGATCCAGGGTAATGACTAAGAGTTCTCTGACCTTGGGCTGCAGCCAGGTGGCACAGATGCAGCTGTGAGTCAGGAGGCTATATATATATATATATATATATATATATTTGAGACAGAGTCTCACTGCCACCTCGGCTCACTACAACCTCTGCCTCCTGGGTTCAAGCAGTTCTCCTGCCTCAGCCTCCCAAGTAGCTGGGATTACAGGTGCATGCCACCATGCCTAATTTTTGTATTTTTAGCAGAGATGAGGTTTCACCATGTTGGCCAGGCTGCTCTTGAACTCCTGATCTCAGGTGATCTGCCCACTTCAGCCTCCCCAAGTGCTGGGATTACAGGCGTGAGCCACCATGCCAGTCAGGAGCCTAGATTCCTAGGCAGCATCTTGCCATTCAGTGCTCCCTGAACATCCACTATATCAGCAAATAGCCACGGAGCAGCTACAACAGGCACCTGTGATGCCCTTGGAATAAGAAAGACACCTCCCTTGCCTCAGAGGTTGGGGAAGATCAAATGAAACAGAGAATAGGAAAGGGAAATGTAAACTAGAAGGTGCTTTGCAAGAATCGGTATCCTGGGAGGTAAAAGAGGAGGGCTGGAGGGCACTGCTCCTCTCCTTGCTCCACTCTGGGCTGGTGCAGAGGCCTCAGAATTTCCAGGTGCAGACAGACTGGGGCTCCTTCCCAAGGAATTTCTCAGCAGCAATGCTCAGTTCAGGCAGCAGAGGGCAGCAATGGGCCTGCCACCCTGGAAAGCAGCCTTTGAAAGCTGCTGCTGGTGGTTGTAGAGGACCGGCAAGGGGGCGAGGGAGGCAAGCATAGGGGGCCGAGGGTGGCGGAGCACATGGTGCCCAGGGTCAGCCTTCCTTTCGGGATGTGTGCAGGTGGCTCGTCCTGCCCCAGTTCCTTGGAAGCCTGGCTGACAAGTGTTCAGCCTTCTGGGCCACGCAGCCTGATTGCTACTCATCGATTTGATAGGGGTCTGGCAACCAGGGGTTTCTCCTTCCTCCTCCTCTGTCCTCAGGTGTCTAGGCGGTATATGATTCTTATGGCCCTTGCAGGGGGTGGGGGTGCTTCTCCCACTGGGAACCCATGGCCATTTATTTTTTTGTGTGATGAAAATTTTGCTGGTGCTCATCTGAGAGGATTTAAGCCATCTGTTGCCCCTGGACAGCCCTAGTCCCCAGCCTGGCCTACTCTCCGTCGATCTTAATCCCAGAGCTGCCTTTCTTCCAGGATGGCAGGAGAATGTAATTAAAGTACGCCCCAGCATGAGGTTTCCATACTAGCAAGGTGGGTGAGACCCTGAGGGCCCAGGAAACCCAGGAGGCCCCCCTCCTGACTTACCAACCTGTACCCATCACATCCTCAAAACACAGCTTCTGGAGAAGAGTGGCTGCTAGGGGGCAGGAGGGATTGGGGAGAAAAGAGAGAGCGGGGGCTGTGAACCTGCAGCACCAAGTCTGCAGGGGGCTTTTCCCCGAGTCCTGGAGGCGGCGACAGCAGCTGGCTGGGCTCAGCCTGTTCAGCAGTTGCAGTAAGAAAGTGGGTGAAGGTGACAGCAAGTGCTTGGCTCTTCAGGTAGATGCTACGTGACTCCTGGCACGTTGAGTCTGTGTGTTTCCCGGGCGACCAGCTGAGCCAGGGACGAGGAGAGGACAGGAGTGTGACAGGAATGCGAGGGAGGGAGGCAGTGCTGTTTCTGACTGGCCCCACATGCCGCTACCGTATTCCACCAGCACCCTCCCGCCTGCGCAGCGTTGCCCCCTGCCAGGCGGGGGCACTGTATTTCCCTAGCTGCCCTGCCAGTTTCTCCTTGCTCTCTGGGTAGGAGTCCCTGCTGATAGGCCTAGGCCACTCTGTCCAAGAACACTGCCCCCCGTCCCCCACATTATATACTGGTGGCAAGAGGTGGCCAAAGCCTAGGCAGGCAGGCTGGTGTGAGGGCAGGGCAGGACCAAGCCCTTGCCCAGGCATGCTAAGGTGCTGGCAGCAATAAACTGAGAAGGGTCTAGGTTAGAGGACTCCAGGATCCCATTTTCTCCAGGGCAGCACCTGGCCCAGGCAGGCTGCAAGCTGCCCTCCCTTGGTAGGCAGATACAGATGAGGCAGTCTGGTCTTTCTTAGTTCAAGGGGCTGAGGGACTGTGTCCTATGGAGTCTGAACCCTGACGATACTCCAGGCTGGTGGGTTGATCAAGGGAGGGAATGGGATCTTCCTGGGTCTGTGCTTCTTGTCCAAGGCTGAAGCAGTGGAGTAGGAACACTTTGTCCTGTTGGACCCCCCACCCTCATCAACCCTAAGCAATCTCTTTTCTGGAGATGCATGACCAGGAAAGTACCAGGCTAGGGACTATCAAACTCTGAGGGCAGGTCTGAGAGGCAGAGGACCCCAAGCACCCAGAGAAAACTTTTAAGAGTCAGAGGAAATACTCCTTCTCGGGGCAGTGTTCCGGCCGGAGCCCGGCTAACACAGGGACACTCTACTTTCTTCTTGATGTTGTCCAGCAGGTACTGTGTGGAGCTGACAAGTCCACACTGTGAATCTGACTTCAACCTTTGCATGGGTGATGGCACTTGGTGCTGGCCACTGCACAGTGCTAAAGTAAGCTTTGTGACTGGCTTCTCCCTGAGCAGGACCAGGGACAGCCAAACTATATACTCCCAGGAAACTCTGGTTTTGAGCTGGGCAGGCGGCTGTACCCTGAGTAGGGGTGAGCTGCCATGAGGGTCAGGGGTTCCTGGCGATCAGGTTTCTTGGATGCAGGGTGGCCCCCAGTGGGTGGGGACTGAGTTGTGAGGCTGCAGGGTGTGGAGTGACTAGGGTGGACCATGGCTGGAGGTGGCCTGTGGGAAGCTGGGGCAGCAGGAGCCAAGCAGCC